GCTTTGAGCTGCTCTCGGGTCTTGTCTGCTTTCTGTTTGAAGCTGACAGCAGGATTTATGGCCTCATTCTCATTCTCGCCTCGTCAGCGTGCCCCTCTCACCTCCATGCTGGCCAGTCAGAGTGTGTGTTCCACTTTCTGTGTGTTTGTGGTTTTTATTCCTCTCAGGACCCCCCTCGACCCCCCCCTTCCCACCCACCTGCCCTTTCCTCTGGTTTCTCCTCTCTGTGGCAGAGGTTGTTCTCGCACAACTGGTCACTCCTCACATCATCTGGTGCCCCAGCTTGTAACGTGTTTACTTTTTTGGTTTTCCGTTTTTTATTTTAGTTTTGTCTAYGTCTGTCGTTGTCCCCATGTGTCGTTTTGATGGGTAACAATTACTGGTTTTTTATTTATTTGGCTTCTCGAACACAAAACGAAGCCAATTTCTCCTCCCAGCTCCCCTTTATTCCTTCATCATCTGGTTTTTTAATCGTCCTTTTTATGCTTTTAATGTCCGACAAACAGGAAATGTGCTGATTCAGTGTCGATATCTGGGTGACTTTTACGCAGACACTCAGGATTTATAACGGCTGAAAAGACATGAAAAATAAAAGCAGCCTCAGACAGTTTTTGGCCGGAAATTGATACCTTCTTCAAGTGGCTAAAATGGCTGCAATTTATGAAATGTGAAACTTTTCAGTGTAAAAAAAAACAAACAGAGAATAAAACCATTCTGACACAAATGAGCGGGCAGGGATTTCACCCAGCATCAAGTGTTTGTGTGTTCCTGCTCCTCAGACGGMGCAGGACTTTAACTGTAAACACTCTAATGTTGTTAGAAGTTCAGCACAAACGGTTTTTATYGGAGGCTGATGAAATGACCTCCTTTCTTTTCGCCCTGCTTTTTCTTTCCCATCCCTTCTGAAGGTTTGCCACAGCGTGGCTTCTACACTGACACATCTTCTTTACTCCCCTGTCCTTWTTTTTCTTTTTGCCTTTTCTGTCACTCTCCTCATTATTTTCTCTCACTCTTTTCTTATTCCATTTCTACTGTCTTTCATCACCCGTCTCCAATTCCCACCAATATTCATCCAACTCTCTCTCTTTTTTTTGTCAATTGCCCTCCTATCTTATTTTTTATTTATTTATTCATTTATTTACAGTGTCTGTTGCTTCTTTTTCGTTCTCATCTACTTTCATTTTACGGTCTTCCCCTCTCGGTTCCTAACTTCTGCTCTTGTCATCCTGAAGACACAACGGCCATGTCGGCGTCTTCGGGGGTGGACCACGCCGTGATCGGAGGGGTGGTGGCCGTGATCGTCTTCATCCTGCTCTGCCTCCTCATCGTCCTCGGCAGATACCTCATCAGACACAAAGGTCGCCATCAGCTCGCACATAAAACACACACACACACACACAGTGACACGCTCATGCATTCATGGATGAACATACGGGGGGAAACATGTTGGCATAAATATGGATTCATGTGAACATCTCTCACAAAACCAAATGTGCAGAAAAACTGCAGGGTCTTATTTAGACAGTCTTGTGGCTCAAAGTGAGGCTTATGTAGAAGTAAAAGTATCTTACCGTAAAATTATTTTGGTAAAAGTTAATTTCAGYATTATTGGGGAACATTTGACATTTACTAAGTAAATCTCAAATATCGGAGTTTAAGTTGCTGTTTGTTTGAAGTTGCAATAAKGGACAGATACAATTTAATTTTTGTCTTTCTGCACCCTTAGTTGATTTACTTTGGGTGTTTTAGTGGACATTTTGTTTTATTTATGAATTAAATAAAATACATTTCTGATATAAAATGTATTAAAAGTAAATGTAAAACTGTGCTGTATTCAATTTATTGGGAGGGGACCTCCCCGAAAAACATTTTTCTAAAAAAAGGTATATGACTATAAGAAAGTATGAACAGCAGTTGATGTTATAGTTGTATCTCAGGAGTTTTATTAAGCTTTAACCTTCGTAGAACATCAATATTTTCCTTTGGCTCCAAACTCCAGACACAACTTATTAAAAAGACACCACTGTAAAAGAGATCTTGATCTCACCGGGACAAGATTAAATGAACTTGAAGATGTGGTGTCAAGTGTTAAATGAAATGTTAAAAAACTTCACTAACATATTTTTCATTATTTACCTCAMTGTTCTTACTTTTAGCTATTTTTTACTAAAAGCTGAATTTAAATGTTACCACAGGTTCCACCCATATTGTTTTTTATTAACATATTTTGACTTTAGATTTTAAATCTGATCTCTAGCATTGTTGGAAGTGTTAGCAGAAGTTAGCATAAGATAACCAGGATGATGTCATCATCCTGCGACAAACAACAATGACCACTGCTAGCCACCGCTAGCTGCTGCTAACACTGCTGAATAATATTTAAAATCTAAATTCAAAATGTGTTCATAAAAAGCAATGTGTGAGTTAGCTGTGGTCCAGTTTGACGTGCGGCTCAGACACCAACCTTAACTGCAAGTTTGATGTCTTGTAGGGAAGTGTGGCTGCCCAATCCGTCCCTGTAGCACGATCCGTCCTGTCACCTCATTTGCGCTAAAAATTGGAAGCATCAAGAAGCCACAGGAAGCTTTAGCTGCGTTGGAGGGCTAGCGGTTGCTATTGTCTCAGGATGATGACATCATAGCATGAGCCGAGCACCAACAGCAAAGGCTTCGTTCCATTCCGAAATACCTAAATGTGAACTTCAACATTTAAGGTTTAATATTTACATTTAGATTTAATATTTAAATATATTTTTCACATTTAAAAGTAACATTTAGTAAAACTTAGCTAAATGTAAGAGTGGTGAGCTAAATAACAATAAAATATTAGTGGGAGTTTAACACTTAAAACGTGAGCTAAATAATGAAAAACMTGTTTCATTTTACACTTGGCATCCCCTCAGATGATTTCATCTGTTCAACTCATCAAAACAGCCAGTTTTGAAATGTTTAAAGAAAGAAATAATGTGTTTTCTGAAAACCAGAAACAGAGTTATTGGGCCTCATGCAAGAATGTGTTCGTATTCTTATCCTAAATTTCTCTTACTTTTGTTCGTATGAAGGGTTCGTACGAAC